CTTAGCCGGTGCCGTGCTGAGAGCTCCTTGCAATCGATAGCGCGAACGGCTAGCTGGTAACCGGCATCACAGCTCCGCCAAACAGCCAACCAGCCAAATCAACCAACAACCACCACCGACACGCATGCATGCGCGCATGCGTGCATGCGCGCTCGCACGCACCCACCCTTTGCCAATCCACTCGCCCCTCCACCCGCCCCTCCACCCCACCCGCCCACCAGCCAACCAGCCAACCAACATCTGCTAAATTGACACCGCAACTATGATAGACTGAGGCGCCGCAAGCTTTTTACACGCAGCAACGCTGCATGACACCCAGATTGTGAGACATGTGGGACAGTGCACAGGCATCCCAGAACACTCCGGAAAGCCGACCAATGGCATCTCTAAAGGCTGTGGTGGCTAAATGAGTGTGAGAAAAAATAAACACAGATTGCAAGGGAAGCGAGTGTATCTACATGAGCTTCTCGGCTGCTTTCTCACAAGCAGTCAGGGAAGTTCATCCTCAAGGCCAAGTCCACTCATCAAGTCTCACATAGAAGTTAGAAGAAACGAGAGGTCTAACGCACTTGCTACTGTAGCGTCCTTGTAAACAAATGTGGGGTGGACAAACACTGAATGGGCTTTCCACATAGCCCCATTTTTAATGCAGTGTACGGATACATGTTCACAATTCAGGACCATGTGTTGACAAGTTGGCAAGACAGGCTGCTTGACAATTGCGGAACCTGCCATCAAAGCACTGGGATGAAACCACAAGCGCTCCCGCAGGCAACGCAACTTGGAGAGGTTCTGGCTTTGTTACGCGAAGAAGTCTAAACCACTGCCTGGATCTGTCAATTTAATTCGGAATCCGCAGGTCACGGCCAATCGACTCTTGAGAAAGGAGGCGCTGGGCTTTGCTACATATTGGTGAACATCTACCAGTCCCTTGCCAGTTCAATCCGGGCCCAGATCAAACGGGGGCAGCAACTGGATGGCCTTTCCATTTTGCATCTTCCAGCGATTTATCAGCCAAGGTTGAGGCGCATGTGCTTCCTCAGAGGGCATCTGAAATCTGAAAACCTCACCCTCTACCACTTGAATGCGCAATCCTGAACCCGAATCGAATCTGGCTGAAGTTCCGTCATTCTTTCAATTCCGTAAAAAGTGTCTCCCCATTCCCCAAATTCCGCCCCCATCTCCTGGCGATGTCACCCCAAAAGCGCCACGAGCCGCGCCTCAGCGGCAGAATCGGCGTGGGCGGCGGCGGCGGGGCGCGGCACGCGAAGGGCGACACCAGGGCTCCACTGGCCGGGCTCTGCGCTGGAGGCCTCCGGTGCCATGGCTTCGGCTGTTTTGGGATCCGCTGGCGAAGTCTCTTGTCTTCTTTTTCTTCAAAACACCAAGGCAAGCCGGAGAATGAGTGAGTCCCCCCAATGGAAGGTTATTTTGTGTCCTTTGACACTCCAACAGGGAGCCTTCAGGTCTGGGAGATACGGCTGAAGCCCCAAATGGTACAAGTGCAAACCAAACACGTGCGCACGTCTCCTCGGAAAGGAGATCCAAGGTGTTGAGACCAGTGTGGGTATTCGAGAGCGCATGCAACGGATATTTGATATTGCATCTACAATGAAAGAAACATCCTGCATGAATGCGAAGTCTGATGGAAAAGCGGGGATTTACGTAAGACTTTTTGCGAAAGGCCCTGTAACATCCGTGCAGGAGAAATCTAGCTAATTCGCTACTGCAAATGAAATGCGCAAAGCTTATTTATAAGTACGCGAGCGTTTCTGTGAAGCGGGAAGCATGCAAGCATGCAGTGGCGGTTGCAAAATTGCGAGCAGCACACACACACAAGCGCTTGGCTGGATACGACAACTAGGGAGTGTTGCAAACGCTTGTTGCAATGAGAGCGGGATGACTTCAGCAGCTCGATGCAAGAGCATTCTCTTGTGAAAGCCTGCTCTCTCACACTCAGACTGCCATTGCGCAGCCTTTGAAACAGCTACGCAAAGGCTCAGTCGCAAGTGTGACAAATGATGCCCGCAGGGGGGCCGTGCAACACGACACGCGCGCAACAACTTTGCCACCACATTCAACAAGGCAACATGCAATTTGAGGTCGCTGCCCATGTTCTGTGTCTTCTCCTTGGTGATTCATAGGGGAGAACTGAGTACTTTTAAGTTAACTTTTAAGAGATATGCCAATTCTCACATCAAGTAACTTAGAATTGGGAATTGGGTATCATTATCTTACCTCGCTTCTATTACTAAGACTACATGATGAAGCGAGAAGAAGAAATAGAGGGAGAGAGATACGGCCATGTCCTTTCGGCCGTCACTTGACCTCTCTCCCTGCCCAAGGAAAGGGCTGGGACTTGAGGAGTGAGGATGGAGCCATCTCGTACAACTTGCCTCCCCACCAACCTTTGCCGGTTTCACAGGGCATTCCGTTGGTATCACAGAAACACTATGGGGACCTATTTCGCATCCGTCTTATTTGATGCACCCTGCCTGCCTGCCTGCCTGCCTGCCTGCCTGCCTGCCTGCCTGCCTGCCTGCCTGCCTGCCTGCCTGCCTGCCTGCCTGCCTTCTGCCTAGGCTCTGCCTGTGCTCTGCCTGCCTTCTGCCTGCCTTCTGCCTGCCTTCTGCCTGTGCTCTGCCTGCCTGCCTTCTGCCTGCCTTCTGCCTGCCTTCTGCCTGCCTTCTGCCTGCCGCCTTCTGCCTGCCTTCTGCCTGCCTTCTGCCTGCCGCCTTCTGCCTGCCTTCTGCCTGCCTGCTCGCTTGCTCGCTTGCTTGTTTGTTTGTCTTTAAGGGCGTCCTTTTGGGTATGGTTTTCAAGGGAACCCAAAAGGACACTAACCATTTTGGGGCTCATCCCTATTTTGAGGCATCCCTATTTTGGGGCCCACTCCCCGAACAACCACCGAGCCGCCGTAGGAGCCCGGTCTGGGCGGTCTCCGACCGGGCGCTTCGACTCGAAGCGGCGGGCCGCCGGGGGGTGGTGAAGGTGTTGAAGCGCCCGGCCAGGCCCTGCAAAGGTCCGCTTCTCTCGTGGCCCTACAAATCATGAGGGAACCCAAAAAATCATCATGGCAACTCCTTTGAAAATCCCCCTGTTCGGGTTCCATAGTTAATTTGTCGGGGTCTGAAAACGCGTTTCTCTCATCCAAAGTGGAGATGCAAAAACAAGTGCATGCTCAAGAATGCATACTGCTCAATGCAAAAGATATGCAAATGTCGATTTGGTCAAGAGAACTGAAGGAAGCGAGCCATAATCCAAGAACAATTGGGTCAAAAACTACTTGTGAGGACTCCAGATTTAAAAACCCCTTGTTGATTAACAGGGAGTGTCCCTTTTTTGTGGGGATTCATCACTTGCGGAGGGAACACCCCAGTTTCTCAATCCAGGATCAGCTTTATGGCGTCTGAAAAAATCGTGAGCTTTGGGGGTTTAGTCAGGGGTATGGAAGACCGAAGACCCCTCAAGTTGGATGGTCCATTGGGTTGGAATCCCAAGGACAAAACCCACCAGGTAGGTACGTAGGGAGGTTGATCCCAGTGTAGGGCTTCCCGTCGAAGCATTTCCCAACACAGGCGCCTTGAAACTCATATACAACCCAGGGCAAACTGCTTGCACCGGGCCTCCAAAAACACCACGAGCCAACTTTGGCTGTCACATTACTTAAAGAGGCTCTTTCAAAGTTGGCTCGTGTTGTTTTTGCAGGCCCCGACATAGCTGAGGCGTGTTTGGGCAGTGTCCAGGTCCAAGAGAGAACAAGCGTACAGTTGATGCTCAACCAGTCCGTGGTTCGCCTCCACAGTCGTTTGAACATTCGGAGTTGAGCCATGGGATTTTTGTTTGAATCCGGTGACACCAGCCACTGCCCCATACACCAGGTTCTACGCGATGGTGGACGGCTTTCATACAAATTCATGCGGCGTGATGCAGCTGATTTATGCTGCCGTGCAGACATGGGCAATGTATCAAGAAGTCAATAAGGTGAAACTGCTATGTTCTTGAATATTCGTTGAACATGGATCCCTTCAAGAAACAGTCCTATTCCAACACACGCACACGAGGCAGCTGATCGCCTGATAGAGTTGCAAGATTTGCAGCACGCAAATGAAGCGATCCCGGTCCTCGCGCAAGATGGGCTGGGGAATCCACCAAGCAAAACGGGAAAAGGACTGCACAGGGCCCCAGCATGCTAGCGCCTCTGAGAAGGGACTGGCAGCTCACCCCAAAAGACAAGCCCTTGTGAATCGACAACTGAACTGGCCAAGCAAAAACACAAATCACCCGACGACCGTTGCGGCATCCAGCGCGCATGATAACAGGGGCTGCATTGGCATGGACCATACACCAAGAGCACTTGGAAAGTACGTTCATGTTGCAATTGAGGCAAAAGCTGCGGAAGTTCTCACGAGCAGCGTCTGAAGCGCCTGCTGTTCCAAAGAATCTGCGGTTCAGGAGTCAGTTCTGTTGAGCTTTCGCCCAACGTTTAGCCGCCTACATGGGGGGAACAAACCTTGTCTGTTGATTTTTATCTTCTCCAGGGGGAAGAGCGCGGCGTATGGCGTTCCCGACGGTGTGGGGGGAGGGGGGTTCCAAAAAAAGAACACCTGCCGATGTTATTTTTTATGAACAACCTGAGTTGAAAATAGACGTCAATGGAACACCACGAGTTGAATGTGTGCTTCCATCCGGCGTTTTCACCGGATATGTGATTCTGATTTCTCGACACACGCGTACACCCACAGAGGCACATGAAGAGGGGCTCCTGTGTGACAACTTCCCAATCTGCTTTGAATCACGCCCGGACAAAATCCTGCGGATGAAACCCTCTTGCAGGCTTTCAAAGGTTTACCCCGGTCATGGAAAGCCGGAGAATCCGAACGGCCCACCTTCAAAAAGGTCACTTGGCCTCCCGCTGCCTCCTGTCCCCGGTCTCCTCCTGGCTCGGCAGCACCACCAACAGCTCAGTCGGCCCCAGGGCCACCGCCCGCCCGGCGGTC